TTTAAACTTTAAACTTGTCATCTTTAAGTATTCTCACATGACATCTCTTGTATGTTTACACCTTCATCCACATGTTATTGTCATAAACATGTCCTTTTTGTTCAAGTATGCTTGTTTCTTACCCTTACTATGTTCATTGGATCCTCGATTCATCTTGAATGTATATACTTGCTTGAACTTCTCTGTAATTGCTCCCATGGATTAAATCTTTGCTCACATGCTCTAGTATTTCCTTCATAAACTCTTACCATGATGAATATATCTTTTTGTTTGATGTGCATTCATATGATTACATTTTTAAACCTTATGGGCCTCTATAAGAGTGTAAGACCCATCACCTTTTCAAGTCAACCATGCTTGGACATGGGCCTCTATAGGAGTGTAAGACCCTCCACTTTCAATTCATGTCTATATTTGTTAAATACTTGTCATATACTTATTCATATTAAGTTTCTCTTGACATTTATAACACCTCATACTTAGTTTAGACTTAGTCCAAACATTATGGTTCTCTCAACTACAACTTAGTTCAAACACTAGTTCCCCTTGGATGAAGCCAACTTCATCATAGCGTCCCCTTAGGCTTTATCCAATCACCCCAGCCTCCTCTTGGGCTTCATACAAGGACCCTCGGGTTTATTAAAAGCATCATAGCCTCCATCTGGGGCTTCATACAAGATACCATCAATTTAAACTTTTAGCTTCTCAGGCAAACAAACCTTTTAGCTTCACATCTTTGGTTTTAAACAAGATACAAACCTTTTAGCTTCACATCTTGGGATTTGAAAAAGATACTCAAATAAACCAATTTCTCCTTAGAGATGAGACATTGATACATCTTTGTAGGAAGATATCTCTTCTATACACCACAATTTAAAATCAAACATTAAAAACTTTTCTCCATATAAGTGATGTAAGTGGCACACTTGTTGATTTAAAATCCAAGCTGGAGTCCCTATCTTGTCATGGTCCAAAACTTTTCTTTCATATAAGTGATGTAAGTCGCACACTTGTTGATACTATATCCAAGTTAAGGTCTTTCTCTTAGCATGCAAAGACTCATAAAGGAAGATGTGGCATTGCTTAGGATTATTTAACATCCAAGTTCAAAGCTTCTTCCCTTATGATATCATTCTCAAATGTTTGTGATGAATAGGTGGGATATCTCCCTTAAGAATGAAAATTTGTCTTTTCTTTCAAACCAACAAAACGTTTAGCTTCATATCTTAGGCTTTGAACAAGATACACAAATTCCCTTTTAGCTTTATCATCTTGGGCTTTGAGCAAGATACAAATTCCACTCATAGTTAGGTGGAACTACGAGCGCTCTGATTTCTCAATTTCCTTTTGAGAATACGTAAGCATAAGATTGCGAGATCTTGGTGAGCACACCTTTAAATAAAACCCCTTAGGTCCTCGTACCTTTCATAAAAAAAACAATAAAAACATCTCATATTCTCATCCTCACCCATAGGTTAAAACTTTTCCAATCGACAGTAAACAACTTAAGTAGATGAAATGGCTGATAGTAAAAAGTGTACAAAAGATTCCTATAGAGTACTATAGATACTCAAGGTGTTAATAGCTTCCCTTAGTATAATCAAGCCCTGATTCCAAATCTCTTTGCATTTATAGGGATAAAACTTACACGCAGGGTTAATTTAGATTTCTTCCCCTTCCTTTTAAGCATCATAGGATAAATATTATAAATTTGAAAGTGGCATCAAACTCGGTTCACGAGAATCTCACCATCTCAGGATTGGTGGGGCCACGAAAATCGGTCCACAAAAAAATGGAGACTTCACTGGGGATTGTCCCATCCCCTAAGAGGGTTAAGCCTATTTTATACTCTTTGTACTATTACTGTTAATATCATATCATTCTTTATTATTACTGCCAATATTATCTGTTTACTTGTCATACCTATTTAAATGCATTTGTTTTAGGAATGTGATTAATACACTTGTGGTAAGGAAAAAGTCCTAACAAGGACTCGAGAACATACTTTAAGATAGGAGGTGGTATAATCAGGGAGGCTTATAGGGAGTGAGTCCCGAACAAGCTAACTTGAAAATCTACCAGCTCAGTAGAGGTAACCTCTTGGAATTACTGATGTTGAGCGAGCAAGTCGTGAATACATTACTTTTTCTATTGGGAACCTAAGAAACTGAGTACTTTAGTAACCTTTCCATTTGGCCATTTTAGGATGTAGTGCGATAACTATCGAGAATAGTTGATACGCAATAATACACTCAAATGAGATTCACCTTCAGGATATTACAACTCTCAAGAGTTAATCGGTTTGCTGTTAATATCCTAAAGAGGGGTCAGTGATTTTGGGAACCTTGTTAGAACTTGTTCTACAGGTACAAAGTGAACCCCTAGTACATACCTCTAGGATGGGCAGAACCATGGCTCCATGCTCGCGACGATAAACCTTTAAACACATGCTTGTGACGATAAACACCTTTCTTCTCTAATCTCGCATCGCTTATGTTCATTCTCTTTCATATTATCTAATTTCTCCCATCCTACGTTTTTTTTATTATAATATTTTTTATATTGTTTTATGCTACTATTTTTGGATTTTTAATCCACTTTTGTCTAATCTTATTCTTGCATATTGAATGAGAAGTTTTCGTATAAATATGATGAGGTTTGTTGTTATTTGATAATGTATGAATGAATAAACACAAAGTTATGTTGTTTTTTATAGGTGTATGTATGGCTCAATAAAAATATTGTAAAAAACCGAACCAACCGAACCAACCCAAACCATATTGGTTTAGTTTGTTTTGGTTCAGTTTTATTTTTAAAAGCCAACCAAACCGCATGTTTTTTTCTCTTGTGGTTCAGATGATTTTTAGCGTTAAAATTATCCAAACCGCACTGCGAACACCCTTAAAATCGTGTGTGGTTGATACAAAGCCAGATTGAGGCAAGTCAACCTGAGGGAAAACGAAACAAAAAGAAGAAAAACCTTGTTATAAAGATTAGAAAAGGGTGAGTGAAAGATTGAAGTTAAAATGCTTTGAAAAACCAATTATAGGTCAGAGGTACACTTCTGACCAGCTAATCACTTTAATAGAACATGATGAAGGAACAAGTACACGGGAAAAAAGTGCTTATAGACCTTATTCAAAGCTAGGGGTGCATACCAGGTCCTTAAAATCTTGGAAGAAAAAGAAATGACAGATAATGCACTCTAGGTCTCTATTATGTACTTTAAGTTATGTTTATAATGATGCACTTTAAGTTATGTGTCATTTTGTTATGTCTGTAATAATAGATAATGGTTATGTATGTAATAATGCATTTTAAGTGTCATTTTGTATTTGTTTAAATCTTATGCACTTTTTAGGTGTCACTTTGTAATCATTTTTGCAAAGTGCTACTTACTATTTATGTGTGTTTTTGTTTACACTCTATGTTTCATAAGTAGTATTCAATTATGCATTTGTTATGTTTTAACAAAACTTTAAAACAAATCACAATGGTAACAAATATCAACTTTTCCATTATATACAATAGTAATTGATACACTGATACATCACAGTAACATTGTTGATATACAATAAATTACATTAACTTAACAACAATAGAGAACAAAATACATGACACTACAAGTGAAATCATCAACCAATAGCTTTTGTTCTTTTTTTTCCATTTTAAGTTTTTTTCTTGGTCTTTTCAAGCTTCTTTGAACTGAATTCTACACATAACTTCTTGTCAAATTCTGTCTCAACTTCCTTACCAAATTCCTTTGCATATTCCCTTAAATAAGTCATTGTCATTTCACAGTTACAACAATTTGTAGAAATCTCGAGTTCTTTGAACCTGACCAACTTCATCGTCCCACATGAAAAATTCACAATTTACCCCACTCTTCAATTAGGTTCAAAACAAAGTGAAAGCAAAGAAAAACATGAACAGAAACTTACTCCTGAAGTTTGATATTTCCATAATTTTCTATTAGGGTTATCTATGGTGTTTGATACCCACGTTTTCATTGATTCATTACATCCACATCTATATGAACTCAGTCCACTTGAGTTACCAATAAATGAAGTTTTCCTTCCACCCATATTTTCAAACACGAAGATGAATATCAATAAAACTGAAAACGAAAAACATGAACATCTACAAACCTTAGCTTCAGCAAACGATAAAGACGAAGAATTAAAGCCTTCGGAACCTAACTTCAGCAAAAGGTAAAGATGAACACTTGAAACCTTCTAATTTGGGCATCAGCAAACGGTAAAGATGAAGAACATGAAACCTAGGTTTTTCAAGAATAGCAATTAACGATGAAATTGTAAATAAAAATCCACATCTGATAAAGAAATCATACCACGTTTGATTAAGAATATAGACTGATTGAAATAGTACAGACAAAAACCATAAAGAGGGAATCTCCATATTATAAGAAAGATATAAAAAAAATTATAGAAGGCAAATCAAAACTCACTTATATTACAAGGGATGCTAATGTTGTATATTTACCCCCAAAATATTTAATTAATAAATTTTATTAAATAATCCTTTTAAAATTTACTTAATTAAAATAATTAATTTTAATAGAGACAGAGAAGATAAAAACAAATTTGATGCACCTAATTTGCTACAAGATTTAGTGAGACTGAAAATGCAACATTGTTGTACATACACCATCTAAACACTTTATATACCCTAGAATTGTCGAATAGAATATTATATAACTTCCCATAAATGATATTTATCACTTATAATTATTGGATTTTGATTTTGGATGCAGTAATATGATAGATAGACAAGTGAATCCAATGAACTGCACATATCCAATGTTTTCGCAAAAAGATCATGAGTTTACCTCTTCCCAATAACATATCACACACTCCTAACGTTTGGTTTTACTACTCAAAAAATTACATACATATATTTTGGTAAAGAGAAGATAGAAACAAACTGGTACGCACTCATGATTACACGAAAAATGAAATCAGAGACGGAAAAATGATCTGCTACAAGTTGTAACTGTCAATCCCCAAATCCCTCAAGGCATCAGTAGCAGCTTCCTTACAGGTTGCATGTGTTTGCTTTGCCTTCCTTATGTATTTCTCGACTCCATTGTTAAGAAGAATAGTTCTGTACAAGTAAGCTGGAATTATTAAGCTAGAAAACCATATGCTAACACGTGTTTCAAGATATTTATAAATGATCAGATTGTGCCAGATGGTTAGAAAAAACTCGGATTTTATTTGTACTGTAAACATCACAAATTATGAGCTTACCTGTTCTCTAGGTTTCTTGCTACTAAATTTCTGATCATAAGACAGGAGTTTCTTTGCATTTGGTGTGCTGCAGGAAATTTCTGCATGGCTTGAATAGCAAAGTCACCGGCACCAGCTTCCATAGCACGAGCTGCATTTTCCGGGGATCTTAGCGAAAGCACAGAAATAATAGACATGATCTGCATCACAAATAAAGTAAAATATATCACAAATAAAGTAAAATATATAAGACGCACATATATGAACTTAAAGGATATAAACAAGTATATCAGAAATTGTATAGATAAAACTATGTGCTGGATATAATGATATCAATCCCGATAAAATATACTCGTATCTAGATTCATACCTACATGTATAGTAATTTTGTTACTCCTACACCTTAACTTCTATTACTTCATATTAGTACTTGAACCTGGTCAATAGTGCATTTTTTCCACAAATGAATACTATTACAATACTGGAATTACTGCGACTAATTAATATAAAAGAACATTATTAACTAAAAATACAACATATACTTTATTTGAAAAAATAAGATCATCAAAATATTAATATGGTCAAAATAACACATACTTAGGTTATTTCATCACATCACCAAAATTAGACTCTCCAAATATTGTTTTTGGTCCAGTAAAGCAATAATAACAGAAATAGCCTCAATTTTCCATTGCGGCCGCTAAACAGATATAGCCTCAATTCTGTAGGGGTACAACTTGGTTATAGTTATTATTGTTTATAGCTAGATTTTGTAGGTGTTGACACCCAGAACATGATCAAGTGTATAAATCTAGTTTAACTGCAAAGTTAGTCCTCATTACAGCTTTTCATTTTGGATGATTAAAAGTAAATAGCAATCCTAAGACGGAAGAATAAATCAGTATATAAGTTACTATGAAATTAATCTGCCAATGAAAAAAATTTATACTTCGAGTAGGATGATTAAGACTGATGGTTTGAACTGTTTAAGGTTCTCACCTCTTGCAATACAGAAGGATCATCAGCATATCTGGCTGAAAGCTTGATTAGCTTATCCATACCCCCTTTCCCAACAATTGCACTCTTGTTTGCATCACTTCCTGCTAACTAATCAAGTAAACATATAAAGGTGTGTTATTCAACTCAAGAAAACAAAAACTACATATTTAAAGTAAAAATGAAATGCCAGGCCAGGCAAACAATATTTTCACAGACGAGTGTAGTGGATAGGATAGCTTGTGTTTGAGCCTATGTTGTTAATCTTGGATAGCATTGTGTAGCACCGACCCCGTAAAATGTTATAATGGTACAGCGAACAGCTGGATAGCCGCTATTGCAAAGACTAAAAACCAGTGTACAAAGTAAACATAAATACTCAAAAATAGACTAATACACAAAATTAAAGAGATCGTCATACTTAATAATTAAAGAGCCTAAAGGATTGGGTAATAAACCTTAAGCAGAGAAGAAGAAAAATACAGAACTGAACTAAAAGTAGGAAGAAGAGCCGAACGATTATTTGTGAGCAAGAACATAACATTACTCTTCAAAGAGTTCTGATTGAAATTTATACCCTTAAAAAAGACAACTGTTTAAAAAACTTAATGAGAAATTTATTCCAAAAATTCTAAGGGCAGACACAATAGCGAATGTGATGGCAGTTTGGGGCCGCAACTTGCAGCCGCTACAACCGCTATTGTTGACAGTGGCTTGCAACAAATAACACCGCACTGAGCCCTGCCACCGCTGCGCTATTCCGCTATAGCGGTGCTATAACGTGCTATTGACAACTTAGGTTTGAGCCCTAGAAGAAATTATTAAGGTTATTTCATTTTTACCCACATCACTCAAGTATGACACAATATACACACCATAAAATATATTACACATACGTTTATGAACCATATGACATGCCTAAGAAAAGAAAGCCAAAGTCATATTTCAGACCAAATTGTACCATTCAAAAGACAGGTAAATGTGGTTGGTTGGACTGGAATAGTTGACTTATAACTCCGGCTTTTATGCAAACTTATCAGCTATATACATTTTTTATTAAATGAACAAATTAAAGATGCAAGGGATAGATGCGAAACAAATATTAAATCATATTTAGGTACTGGTGATAAAAATTTGAAACACGTGAATTATAAATATTCAGAGAAAACTTTCAGCTCAAGAAGAAATGGTGAGCCAATAACCACTAAAACGGCTAAAAAGGAGAAAACTCAATCAATCACTTCAAACTAATGGCTGGGAAAAATACTCTACTACTTTGCTTAGAAATTGTTAAAATAAATAAATATAAATATAAATGATAATAATACAAGCTCCAAGGGGCATTTCTAGAGAAGCATCTTCAACATATACCTTAGAAAGTAATGAGCAGCAAACTTTGGCTACATCTGTGTTGCCTTGTTCACCACTTTCATCTATACATTTAAGTACTACATCAATACCACCTTTTTCAGCAATGGATTTACATATTTCATCCTGGAACAGATTATAAATACTCAGCAGAGAGACGATATATACTTGTTGAATTATAAATACTACAGATTATAAATACTCAGCAGAGAGACGATATATATACTTTTACACTAAATTATTAATCAAAACCATTTCTTGTTTGTGCAAAATAACCGTAAAACTATACAATAAAACTTTTTTGATACAATGTTTATAATCTCTTGACTTTTGAATGGAAAATCAACATTTTAATTGTCGATGTTGATTTAGATTTTACTTAGCTTACATTTACTGCAGTGGCCTTCAAAGTGATGCATGCTGAAATTAGGTCAGGTGAGCCAAGTCCTGTGTGCAGAGAATCCACAATGGCTTCTGGAATTCCAATCTTAGCGAATCTTCGTGCATATCCATAAACCTGAAAATAGAATGTAATGTACAGTTTTTAGTTGTGATGATGATAGCAGTTTTATAAAAAATTGGAAGACCCTCTTGTTTACCAAATTAAGTTCATTTCATGTTTTTTCTTACATTGTGTGGGTATTTATACACTAGATTCCTTCAATTTATAAGATGACATGCAAATTCAAGTTGCTTTAACTTACTTGGGAAGCTAGAACACGATTGTCATCGGGCGTCAAAAGTACACGAATAGCATCATATAAACTTTGAATGCCAGGGTTCTTATGTATGGACATTATCTCTACAATTAACTCATCAACTTTCAATTCCATAAATGAATCCTTGACAATCTCATCACCAGTTGCAGCTGAAGCCACAACACGGAATCCGTTATTTAAGACATCTACATTTTGCTTGTTGTCATGTAAGATACCAACTATAATCCTTGGTCCATTACTGTTCTGGAACGTTCCTGTACTTTGAACATCTGCAGCAACAGAGATATAAACATAATACTATAGAAAAAGAGAAACTAGTTTACATTGAGTATGCATCAATAATCGCTTATCCAAATAGTACTTAATCAATTTATTTATCCAAACACTACCTAGATAAAACAAACAACATGAATATACTAGTTCAAGCGAAAGAAGCAACGCAAAGATCTAATCTAACCAAAAACTCAACTAATATACATGAGCAAGAGAAAAAAGAAACTCAAAGAACTAACCGCGAAGCAACAACGACAAAACATTTAAACCAGAAAGAAGAACAAGTTGAGATCCATTAGCACTATTTATCTTAGAACAAACCAATTCAACACCTCCATTTTTTGTAGCAATTGCCGCATTGCCATTCCCCGCGTCACTGCCGCACAACTCGGCCAGTTTATCAAACGCTTCCACCGTCTCATCCAACGCATCCGATTCAGACTCCAACCGTTTCAACTTTTCTAAGCACTCTATCACCGGATTGCTCTCTCCGGGAACGGAAGTCACGATGCCTGATAAAACGACGTCGTTTAGGAACGGAGATTGGAATTGAAATGAGAAACGCGGAAGAGAAGAAGGTGAGGTGAGTGACCTGAGAGATCGACGCCTTGGAGAGTGAGGGTTTGGATTGCGTCTTCGAGAGCTTCGGCGGGGTCCATTCCGAGGTCGTCAATGTTTTCATTTACTAGCTCGTTGAAAGCATCTTGTGAGATCGCACGCGCCGTCGTCTTTGGTGGAGCCATTGATGTGCTTTCAGACAGACGCTGTTTCTCTTTCGTTTTGCTTCCTATATTTTCAAACTTGGGAACTTGCGAAGCCCGAGTTCAGCGACGGCCCCACCTAGCACAAACAGTACAGCAAATCTACTATCTAACTAATACTATACTAATGCATTCATATCTAACTAATACTATACTAATGAATGAATGCATTGCCTTTCTTACCCTTTCATCTCCAAAAGTTTACACTAATAAAAGAGGTTTTCAGTAAATAACAAAATACACAAATTTACCACTACATCCTCCTCATTGCAACGCACCAAAACTTAGTGAACTTGCAATATAACCTCATTTTGTTGACTAACTCTCTCAGTTTTCATTTCAAAGAACATTTTTTGTCCACTACATCTCAGCATACATTACAAGGTTAGAAAATACATTTTTAAGAAATCATTTTTCCAACTTCCACTTTTTTGCAAGGTTAGTTCAAGTGTAAGAAGTTTTTTTGCTGTTTACATAGTTGTTATTTATTCATAATCGAAAGCAGAAGAGAAGTTGTTTTCATAGTTGATATTTATTCAATGTGTTATGTTTTATTCAATATGTCTGACTTATTGATGTTCAAATATCATAAAAAGTCATTGTTTTTTGTATGTTGCGATGTGGTAGTGTTTGTCAATCATAAATGATTGTTTATTGTTTGATCAAGTGTTCAAACTATCAACACCAAGCGTTGTGTTTATTTTGTGACAGATCCACCAGTATTTTGTGTTTTACATTCAACTGCTATGAAGTGTTTGATAGTAAAAAATTGTTTCTCATGTGAAGTTGATCACTTTAAAAAGGATGTATTTATTTTCAAACACCATCCAAATATGAGTGTTTGTGTTCTGTCTTTAGACTTATTCATGTTCAAATATCATCAATATCTCAATGTTTTTTGTTTTAGAGCCTTATGGTATTGTTTGTCAACCATAATTGTTTGGTTAGTGTTTTATCATGTGTTCAAAATATCATCACGACATGTTAAAAAACTCAAGGCCTAAAATATGTTTGACAGAAATATTTCACATGTCCACCACCATTGTCTCTCATTTTTTTAACATTTATAAAATTTGGTTTGTTTGTTTGACATAGAAATGCAGTTTTTCATGGCTAAGTATAACAAGTGTTGTTGACAAAAAAGTTTTCTTTCATAACATTTGGCATATCCACCACCACTTTGTCTGTTATTTCCAACTGTTATCAATGATGGTTTGTGTGTTTGACATTAAAAAAATTTTTCTCATATCAAATATATCATGTGTGCAAGATGGCAAGGCCTCTTATTTTGATCAAGGATTTGGTGAAAGGTCATCAAGTGTGGAAAATGCACATTCGCATTGTTGAAGTGGTAGATGATATCAATCAATACATCACAAATATTCTTCCAGATATTACTAATATTATCTTAATGTATTCATTCTTATCATTGTACTCAAATACATTGTTTTTGAATTTTTAGGAGATGAAAAGGAATACTTTAGTAGCGATTCTGTTGATAGATCTGAAACAATTGACTTCGATGCATTTGAACACTTGACACCTGATTTCTTGAATGCTCTTAAAACATCAGGATTTCCTAATCATTCAATCAAGTTGAAAATTGGGAGCACAATTATGTTGTTGCGCAACTTGGATCAATCTGAAGGTCTATGCAATGGTACCAGACCCACCGTAACCAGGCTTGCTAATCATGTCATTGAAGTTAAGATCATTTCTGAAAAGAATATTGGTAACATCATTTATATTCCAAGAATGTGTTTGTCCCCTTCACAGTCACCGTGGCCTTTTAAATTGGTTAGAATGCAATTTCCAATTATTATTTCTTTTGCTATGACAATTAACAAATTGCAAGGTCAATCTTTAGACAACGTTGGTTTATACTTACCAAAAGATGTTTTTAGTCGTGGTCAATTGTACGTGGCACTTTCTAGAATTAAGACTAAGGAAGGTCTTAAGATTTTGATTCATGACAAAGATAAACAGAATATGCATACAACCACTAATGTTGTCTTCAAGGAAGTTTTCTATAATATTTAGTAGGTATTTAAATACACGTTGTTTTGTTATAATATTTGCTCATGGTAAAATGTATGCATATTTGTCGTCTAATATATATGTTATTCTTTACAGGTGATTTCATGTTGTACATTATGGAGATTTATGCTACACAATCATCCAATGGCAACAATGAATGTAACTGTTAATATGCATACATTATGGTTATTTCTTTTTTTTTTGTCTTTCTTTTATTGTTTTGACAATGTTGCTCAACATTACCACTTTATTTAGTGTTTACATGTTATAAATCTTTTATTATTCTATTTATATTCCAACATTCCATCTCCTCATAAATCACTTTTTTTAATATAATTATTTAATATAATTAAATTTTTATGATTATTATTTATTATATGATTAAATCATTTATTTCAAATTTAAATATAATTTATAATGTTTTAAATAAATTTACCCGTGCGGGAGCACGGGTATCGTACTAGTTAAGGAAATCAAAATTGATATTTTTAGGGTCTTGTCAAGAATTATTTTTACAAAAACTAATTTTAATTTTTTATTAATTTATTACACTATCTTCAAGATGATATTTATATTTTTAATTCATTAATAAGTGTTTTTAGAGCATGTATTTGCATATCCATGTTTTACTATTAAAAGAAAAATCATATTCTTCTAGGTCAATCACAAGGGCCTCATCAATACGCTTTTCTAGGTCAATCACAAGGGCCACATCAATACGGTCGTTCAAAAATAGATATTTTATGCTTAATAGAGTATTGTAGAGCGACATCTAAGAGATAAAAAGTGAGTCACTTGATGATTATGTTGTATGAAGATAGCGCATCTACAATAAGATACACTACTTTTATTATTTTGGCATTCTCCTTCAATACAAACATTGTTTTGAGAGTAATATAGGCTTGATCAATTGGACTTGTTCGACCAAGGAACTTCTGGATGACTGGAGCTCGTCCATATCTAGTTTATGTTTCTTGAAAGCGTCCTAATAAAGAAAGTTAAATCAACTTCTCAAATTTATTAGTACTTATCTGATTTCTTAAACGCCAAACTGTACCTTTATCATCATATGGCCATTTTCACGAGGAGGACCCAGTGGCGTCTTTCTTGGAGAATGTGATCTCAAGGTCAGGATCATCTTCTTCTTCAGGCTTAGGCTTGGTGGGCGAGTCTTTCACTACCATGACTTTTCAGACATATTTTCCATGGGAGAAGTTAGATTCTCCACCCTTGGAAAAACTTCCCTCTATGGCATTAAGAGTGTGATCGACTATCATATACTCTTATATTCTTTATGGCTCTTTATCTTTTATGGACTTGGGCTTCTGGTTTGATCTCGCCCCTGACTTAAGGATTTACTTCCTGCTTTCTAGATGGTATTAGTCATCAATGTGATGACCTTTCGAGATGGTAATATTCATCAGTGTGATTACCTTTTACCTTATGGTATCTCCACTACATAATAGGCTTGGACTCTGACTTAGAAGCTGGCTGAGGCGCTGACGCAACTGCGAAAAAGGCCAGCGGAAACAAACAGAAGAGTCACCATCAAACGTTATTTATCCCAAAGAGAGGGAAAGGAAATGATCAAAGAAAACCTAAGAGAACAGGAAAGACAATGTCATCGCAACCAAATCATGGGTTCGGGAGTTGGTTACGCAAGGGGAAGGTACAAGCACCCCTCACGTCCGTTGTACTCAACGGGATCTGTTAGAACACAGATTGGTTCTTAATTATATCTCTGTGTTTTGATGATAAGTCTTATGAAATTTTGTATTAAAGAATTATATACTCTAAAATTTGTTTAAGAATGTTTGCTGCAGATATTAAAGTGAATCTTATTCTGAAAGAAAATTAGATCTGAACATGAAATTATGCAAGGCTCTGAAGCGCCAGAAGCATCTCCTAGAAGAATCTGAATGCTGCCTACAGAAGATTCTGAGCGCTGTCTACAGAAGATTCTGAAGCAGCGGCTACAGAAGCATCTGAAGCAGAAGCTACAAAAGCATCTAAAGCATTGAAGACTTTTGTATGAAGAGTTTCAAGCTTAGTTTATTTCAGAAGACTCTGATAGTACTACGCTGCCAGTACTGAGGATCTGATCCTAAAACTCTGCTCTGAACAATTACACGCTGAAAGCACACTTGCTGCAAATGCTCTGAATCAGCAAACTCTGATGAACATCAAAGACTCTGATCACTCAAGGCTCTGATGATATTTGCTGAAACTTGTTGAAGAAGAATTCAAAGTTATGTCCGTTGGTTTGGCCAAACGACTCTTTCCTCATTTATGCTAGACACAAGAACACAGACAAAAAGGATTTATCTGTGCATTCTACTTCTAGGAAAGGTCATGTGATGTGAAGACAAAAAGGCTCAGACCTTTTCAGTATACAGCCTTCAACGTGAAAACTACTTGGACTACTGTGCCTATAAAAGCAAGACTCCATCACTCTTCTTCAGAGAACAAAATATTGAAAGAATTCAAAGAAAGCTCTCATACAACTTATTCTCATTACTGAATTTATTTCATTGTTCTTAAACTTAAGTGTAAAATCATAGTTGTGATATAGCTTAATTAGAAGCATTTAAACACTTGTTTTATTCTTAATTTTGATTGTAAAAGTCCTTAAGAAGATCTAGTTGGGATCAGTTGTTCTTAAGAAGACTAAGAACAGTTGTTCTTAGTGCTTGCTATTGTAATCAGTTGATTAATAGTGGATTAAGTCCTTGTTGAGAAAGGCAAATCACTCTTGATATGGTGGACTGGAGTAGTTGAGTTCAACGAACCAGGATAAAAATCCTTGAGTTTTTATTGCCATAAGTTTTTCAATATACTTATTCAACCCCCCTTCTAAGTATTTTCTCACCTTCAGGATCCATGCTTGTTGTCTAATCTATGGGTGAAAAGTCGAGGTTACTGCCCCAACAGAGTGTATCCATGGT